GAGAGAACAAACAGGATGATTAATAAAATGAACCTCTTTATTGTTTAATGTGATACAAAATTATAGCTTAGTTTCAACAGTACGAACGTACGTATAATATATGTATATGTATGTCATCGTAACATTCTGCAGGGATATATATGTATACATGAACGAGACAGTTATTACATCGTTATACCCAAGCGAATTCAATTCGAAAAGGAGCTCCAATCAAACAGCAATAGTGGATTGCTACTAACTAGAGCTAATAGTAGCTGAAAGCGAACATGTATAGTCAATACTGATGTGAACTTCGTTCAGATCGTTTATATCTTCTCTTCGAAAGGATTAAGCAAATTCAAGACGGTTGGGTAAATATGAATGAGAACGGTTTAACATTCACTTTCCGGACGACTTTCAACCCAAGTCTTAATAGCGGGCAAGGCGAGGACCTTGTCCCTCAACTGCTTCAAGTTCTCGTACTTCTCGATCAGATCAGTCTTCTTGTTCATGAAGTTCAGATAATCGAGGAGAGAAACGAACAATAGATCGGCCCAGGATAGAGCACCGCCGACGAAGTAGCCACCGTTCTTCGCCACTTGGGCGTCCAGACGTTCCAAGTAAGGCGGGACCTGCTCCTCGACGACCTTCTCCTTCGCGGCCTTGGTATTCGGGTCCTCCTCGTAATGGAAAGCAGCGAGTCCTGATATGAAGAAACTTTCATTTAGAACACCGGGCAGCGCTGAGTTTAGACTTGCTAATTCTCGTTAATCATTATATAAATTGAATTTAAATACGTGATAAATTGATACTTACTGGCACGGAGATCATGGATAGTGTCGACGGTGGCGTCGATCTCGAGAGCCTCCCAATCATCTTTGCCAACCAAACCAGCTTTCTTGGCTAAGTAGCGGCAAATAGCTGTGGACTGAGCGACTTTCTTTCCGTCAACTTCGAGCATAGGTACCTGGCCATAAGGAGTGGCTAAAAAAAAAAAATTGAAAAGGGCGTCGAAATGCAAATAATTCGAAACAATTTATGAATAATTATTATCCAAAACAATGTCGATAATAATATTGTTTCCTGAATACCCACTAGTCATTATCATCGCAGAAGCAATTTCAGTTTATTGATGTCTTACCAATGAACAAAGGGCATTGTCTCCCTAACAATGCCTATTGTCTTTCGTACGCATAACGCGGGGCAGTTAGAGTATAAACAAAATAATTTTCGAATTCCGGTAAATAAATGAATATTGAAAAAAAAAATGAAATTTATTGAAAAATTTGAACTCACTGGGCTTTATCTTCGGCCAGTCTTCTCGGTCGAAGCGGACATCCTCGAATGGGATACCGGCATAGCTGAAGAGAAAGCGGATTGGTTCGCCCAACGCCTTAACCGGGAAGTAAGTCAATTTGTAGGAAGGCATTTTGCTCTGTAGAATAAAAAAAGTAAACGACGTTTATAGTTTTGTATGATTACGATGAAATATATCGACTGGGCGACATATGTTGCGCAAGATTTGCCGGTGAAATAACGTTAATTCAGCAGTATGGCTCTGTAGTGTGTACTAAACGCTCCCCCATGTATATAGCAATTGTATTCTATTCTTAGTCCATCACAAAAAAAAAATTATAACCACCAACAGTCTATATTTTGCATTATTTCCCACATTGACCTCAAGAATAATTTGTAACAACGATTCTTCGATTCGTAGATAATAATAATTAATAATCTTCGAATAATTCACTGCCGGAAATCAATTTTCTTCGATTGAAATTAAAACGGGTGTAGCCGGTTAGATGAAGGTCGCAAATTTAAACCTGGAATTCACGTTAATTCGAGCTGCAATCGCGACAACTATGGAGAAATTCAATGTCGATTCGATGCTAATTAAAAGAGGAATAGTAATTAGTGAATACTTACACTTTTTTTCGCAAAAGAAATTGAAACGTGGAAGCGCTAGGAAGCCGGTCGATGAAGCTACGTTGAACTGCGTTCACTATAATGGCGAACTCGAGGCCAACGAATCTTTATATATATGTATATTCTCCTGCTTACGTAATGACACCTCATTGGTGAACAAGTTGAATTCAACGAGATGATACGTATATTGTACACCATTGGGAGAACAGAGTTTAATTTTATAAGCTTTAACGATAACAAAATAT